ACTCTTGGTACCAGCAGCCAGGAAATCAAAAGATGAATTGCATTGGGAAAGTCGTCTGCTGTCAGAAACTTCTCTGGAGTAGTGAAGAGCAATGACATCAGTCTGGAGACTAAGATGAAACTGATCCAAGCCATAGTCTTTGCAATTACTTGCTATGCATTAGAAAGTTGGACAATGAAAAGGGATGATAGAAAGAGAAACGATGTCTTTGAGCTGTGGTGCTGGAGAAGAGTATTGACTATTACCATGGACTGCCAGAACAGAGTTGTCTTTTTTAAAAAATTATCATCATTTTGTGTGTGTGTACCATCAAATCAAATCTGACTAGTGCAGGAGGAGATTGTCCCTTCTCCAGCAGAGCATCTGGCGGATTCGAACAGCTCACCTCTGGGCCTGCAGTGAAGCTTCCTGCCACTAGGCCACCAGAGCTCGCCACAGGTTCGTCTTAGAAAGGGTGAAATCAGGCTGCTCCTTGGATGCAAGGATTCTGAGGCTTTGTCTGACAAACTTTGGGTATGTTGCAAGGTGGGACGACTACTTGGAGAGCGACAGCATGCTTGGAAAAGAAGAAGGACAGCGCAAGAGAAGAAGACCCTGGATGAGATGGACTGATTCAGTGACTGGGTAATGAAGGTAGGTATGTCAGAGACAATAAGGTTGGTACAGGATAGAACAGGTTTCAGGGCTATTGTACATAGGCTCGCTATGAGTTACAAGCGACTTGATGGCATATAACCACCACCACCACCACCACCCAGACACTGCACAGTTTTTCTGCTCTTACTCTCCTGACTCTACTGTGCCACTAAGCCAAGTCCTGACTCAAAGAAATACAAGGGGAAATCTCAACAAGAAGAAGGAAGACAAAGCAGTGTATATCCTGTGAAGTCAGAAATTTCACTGCTAATCAGGCTGGGATCTGCACAAGAGCACCCTCAGCAGAGAACCACAGAACATCATTAGACAGAGCTGACTTGGGACTGCTGCCCACTGGAGCCAGGGCTACGGGCTTTCACCCAAGCTTGCTTGAGGGAAGATTCCATAATTAGCAGGACTGAGGGAACTTTCTGACAATGACCTAAGTCATCAGGTTAAAGGCCAATGAGCCTTACTACCATGCTGTCTGGACTGAACAACTGTATCCTGCTGCCAACCTGAATTATAGCCTGTTAACTCTGGTGACCTACTGGTAAGAAGCTGCACTATCTATCCGAGGGGATTTGGTTCAGATACACCAGCCGCTCTGCAGGAGAAAGACGGGTAATCTCCTCTTGTGCAACTTAGCACCTCTGAAAACCAGTTGGCGGGTCAGTTTTGACTCAGTGGTACCAAAAAATTCCCTAATAAACCCCATAATTACAAGTATAGAAAAAAAAATTACAGGAAATTACTTTTCCAAGGTACTTTCCCCCCATTATTATAAATCTTTTATTTACTTTCCACAGGTATGGGTTAGAAAGTTTGTCCAGGTTTTATAGTTACGGACTGGAAAAAAAATTCAGACAAGAAATTTTTAAGGATTTCCAAGAAGAAACTGAAAAAAAAAAAAAAGACTACAAATCTGGTAAAAACTAAGATACACACACTCTCTTTGGAAATTGTGAACTGAAATTTATCAATGTCGAGGGGGGAATTCATCACTTTTTTTCAGGGCAGATCTTTTAAGACTTTTAGGCCATTATTAACAGTTCTTGATAAAGGAAGGGGACATGACAGCGAGAAGACTTTTTCTGTGAAATGTTAGAAAATAATTGATCCCACTGTTTCCTTTATGGAGGTGTGTTTTATTGCTGCCCCTTCAAAACATGGCTACTTACATGGTCTCATAAAGGAGAATGTTATGTAGTATCAGCAGGTATGCTTGGAAAGGTAGAATAGCACAGGGATTAAAACTGTAGGCAGAATCAGATCCTAGATCCGAATACCATTTGTGCTATAGTAAAATCTCAGAAACCTGTTAGAAGAGGAAAATATTTTCCATTACTATAATAGGGAGCTCTGGTGGCCTAGTAGCAAGAAGCTGCACTGTAATCCCAAGGGCACACGGTTCTAACCCACCAGTGGGAGAAGGATGGGCAAGTCCCATGAGATTAACTGCCTCTGAAAACCCACAAGAGCTATGATTTGGTTCAGACTTGATGGCACATAACAACAACAAGAACAACATGACCGCTGAAGTGGTAGACTTCACTCTGTCAAAAGTGGAAAATTCACAAGACTTTGATGTAAAACAAAGCCCTCTCCAGGATACTTCTGATATCCTAGAAAGGAGAAGAAAAGCAGCAATATGGATTCTAGTATTTGAGGGTTCTAAAGACAAAAGATTCAACGCTCTGCCATGAAGTTCTAGAGCTATAATACAGGCACAGGGCAAATCAAGGGTCACGATACAGGGAAAGAACAATAGAAAGACCTGAGCACATCAGTCCCAACTGAATCCCCACCTCAACTCTGATCCTCATGAAGCCTGGTAATATGTATCACTTCTCAATGGTTTCTTGCGTATTTTCTTTTGTTCCTCAATGACAATGGAAGCTCTCTACAGGATTGTGTATCTGTTCCATACTCTGTCCCCTAGTGCCAATGACATAGTATACTCCCCTTGGGAATTGGTAGACAATTCTAAATTGGTGGCATAGGAATGGGTCATAGTTTCATTTTGTGGTTTGGTATTCTCCACCATCCTCTGGTATTGGTAAATACCAATTTTTCACTCAATGTGAAAATACCTGGGGTCCACAACATGAAGACAAATGTCTGCCCTCCTGCTCTCGAAAAGATACCCCAGTTTAATGTAAAAGGTACAACATACTAACATAAAAGGACACAAGAATAAATATCAAGCAATACAAAACATGCACATAAAAGTACAATACAGCCTCACTGATTCAAACGCTGGTATGTAATCTCATCTCGAAAATGAATGCTTTCTATAGTTTGATTAACATCATTTACCTGCTTTAGATAGTCTTTCAAACATGTTAGTGGAATCATTTGCATACCAAAAGCAATATATTATGATACATAATTTCAAGTATTTTTAAAACTTGTTTATATATATATTTTTCCTTCCTTTCTTCTTCTTTTCCCCACCCTCCCTGCCCCAGTAGGTAAATCATATTCCAGGACATAATTAACAGTATTTCCAAAATTTTCAGTACATATTTTTAACTACTTCAGACTAGACATCCTTCCTTTCAAAACAGTAAATTTTTCTTTGGTATAAATCTCATAATTAGTAGTAAGATATAGGAACAAAGAAATGATTAGAAGGGAATTGGAGAAGTCAGAGAAACCTTTCAGTAGACAAAACTCCTTTAGCACACCTAAAAGAATGGGATTTAGGGGATCAGAGCAACAGGGTGAGCATCCTAGGCCATGAGAATGGCTTGGGCTGTTAAACTTTGTTCCATCCAACGTGGCTCACAGGGGCAAAGGTCGAACCCTTTCAAGCATCTCGAAGTCTGACTGTAAGCACTTGCCCTCTACCTCGGTAGGCAAGTGGGCCAAATTCTGTTGCCTGTCCCTGATGTGAGCAGCATTTTCTTGGAGATGCTCTAAAATGTCCTGCTCTTCCTCGTCCAGTCGTGAAAGGAACATCTCCTGTTCTTCATCCAGCTGCCTGTGAAGCTCCTCAAACTCCTTTAAGATCTGCTGTCGGCGACTCTCCACCAGTCTCTGAGGACAGAAAGAGGATGTTTTACCAGTAGGGTCCGTAAGGTGTGAGGGAGCTTTCTCCACAATGCAGGATTTATTAAGTCCTAAATGGAAATAATTTAGTAGCGACACAGTTTTTTTTCTTGGAATTTCCATCTATAAAGAATGGCTCCATCTCCGATTTCACCTCATTCTTGTGGCCTAGCAGTAGGGAGCTACACTGCCAACTCAAAATTGTGAGGTTCAAAGGCACCAATCTCTCTGAGGAAGAAAGATGAGCAATCTCTTCCTGTGTGATTTACAGCCTATGTGTGAATCAATTCTGTCATGATGACAATGAGTTGTTGAATACTGATGATTTATTGACTTAGTCTTCACGGAGATTAAAACACCCCCCCTAAAACAAAACAAAAACCTCAAAACCCAATGATTAAAAAAAAAAAGTTGTTTCTTAAATTAACTTCTAAAAACTTATTTCTAGGGATTAGGACTGCACCTGTTAAATGATTTCAAGTCTTTCCGAAGTGGCATAGTAGATTAAAGTGTTGGGCTGCTAAATGAACCATCAGCAGTTAAACTCTCTGGTCAATCCATGGGAAAAAGATGAGTAGTTTCCTCCCTTTCAGACCTACAGCCTTGAAACCTGATGGAGGGCTGCCATCGGTCAGAAGTGATTTTATGGCAGTGGGTTGAGACCCCAGAAAAGTGTTCCAGAAGTTAATTACTTGATTATAATTTGGTGATGTATACTTTCTTTAAATAATACCTAGATTTAAACCCATTAACATTCTTGAAATTCAGTTATTATTGTTGGTTGCCAACTAGTTGGTTCTGACCAATGTCCATGTGTGTAGACTAGGACTGCTCCATAGTGTTTTTAAGGAAAACAGACTGTTAGGACTGGAAGCCGACTGCTATCTTTCTAGCTGACAGTGGGTAGGTCTGAATTATCAACCTTTCTGCTATTAGCAGAGTGCTTGACTATTGGGACAACCTAGGAACTTCTGAAACCACATAGGGTAACAAAGGATTAAAAAAACCCCAGCCATTTCAGATTTATTGTTCAAAATGGCTTTTCTATCCAGAGATGGGCAGATTCAAACAAACAGGATATGTTACTTTATTCACAGGGAGCTCTGGTGGCCCAGTGGTAAGGAACTGTGCTGTCAACCAAAAGGCACACAGCTTGAATTTGCCAGCTGTTCCATGGAACAAAGGTGGGTAATTGACTCCAGTGCAATTTACTGCCTCTGAAAACTTGCTGGAGATCCAGCTATGAGTTGGTCCTGAATTGATGGTATACCACCACCACAGTCTATACATAAAGGGATTGGCTAGTCTTGTTATCCTACTGGGTTTAAATTGAAAGGTTTCAACAGTACAAATGGGAAATCTCAACACCAACAAGGAAGCAGCAGCAGTGCTTATCCTTTGGGGTCAAAGATTCCCGTGCCACTCAGACTGAGGCCTATAGGAGCAGCAGCAGCCTCAGCAGAGAACCAGAGACCAACCTGACAGAGCCAAGCTTGCTGCAGGACTGAGGGAAACACCATAACTGGCAGGACTAAGGGGACTTACTGACACTAATCTAAGCCCAGAGGCTAACGGTCAAAGGACTTGTGATTACCCTTGAGAAGCTGTCTGGACTGAAGGATTATATCCTGCTGCCAACCTCCTTTATAGTTGTTAATTTCCCCAATAAACGCCTTAATCATGAGTACAGATCTGTAAAGTCTGTGTAACCAGTGCAACAGATTTCAGACTCAGTAGGGTGGTAGGATTGCTTTTGGAATTAGTAGAAAGTGGTATAGAAGTGCGGGGGCATGTCTGACCTGATAGAAACTAGTTTTGTGCCGTGGATGCTATTGATAAGGACATTTCACTCTTGCAGATTTAGTAGAGGTCAGACTTGAACATCCTCATACAGTCCTTGCTCTACTTATACTTTCTGAGTATAAATCCTCCAACACATTGTCCCTTCTGGACTCACAGACAAGCTTGAGAAGCTTATTTTGACTGATAGGGAGGAACTAGCTCATGAGAGAAAAGTTTGAAGATGAGCCTGGGATTCTGGAAGGAAGTAGCTAGCTACCAGAAGGCAGGACTGAGGGTGCAAGTGGGTGATGATCAAGGTCAGGGACAGGCTTCACAAGCTTGGCATTGCTGAGCTTCACGTGAGTTCCCAGGTGAGGCTGATAAGTTCTAGTTCTCCTCTAGTCATTGGCTGCTTCTTTTCCCACTGCTGCATTCAAAGGTGCATTTTGGAATAGAGTGTGATTTCACCCTCTTCTTCCCCATCCCCCCTTTGTGTGTGTGTGTGTGCGTGTGTGTGTGTGAATTATGACAGCCTTTCTGGATTCATATCTATAGTGAATACGAAGATAATAAGCTCTTCCTTTTATAAGTCCATCATCGTTTCTCTCTATATTTGCAGTGTGTTATGATGGTAATAGGAGCTCTGGTAGCACAGTGTTATGTGTTGCATTGCTAATAGAAAAGTCAGTGGTGTGAATCCACCAGCTGCTCCAAGCTAGAAAGGTGGGAGGTTTCCTCTCATAAAGATTTACTCTTGGGAACCCAATAGAGAGGGCCAATGAGTCAGAATCAACCCAAAGAGTTAGTGGGATGAGGGTAACAAGGGTGTTATCTCCTCCTAAAGGACATTCAAGGTTTCTAAAAATTGTATTCCCTTCCTGAACTACCACCACCCAGAAGGTTATCAATAAGAAGAACAAAGTACACACCTATATTATCATGGCTTTGCTTACAATAGCAGAGTTGGAAACAACCTAAGTGCCCATCAACAAACAATGGATAGAGAAGCTATGGTATATTCACACAATGCTCTGAAAAACTCATAAAATAGTATTCAAAATGGGTGACCCTGGAGGACATTATGCTGAGTGAAATAGCTCAGACACAAAAGGACAAATACTGCATAGCGCCACTGTTCTAAAATGGGACTGACATCAGGGTTAGGGGGAGACTAAGAAAGATAGAATAAATTATGTATACTGCATTGAGGGAGAGAACTGTTTAAAAGGGATATATGATTAGGCATTATTGTCATTACAGGAGTCCAGAATAAAGGCTGCATAGTGGAGTGGCCTTGGGGGGAGGGACTATATAACAATGAAAAAATTTTTCTTTTACTTTTCCAAGAGAAGAGTGAATTGGGGGGGAAGGGGTGGGCAGGGAGAAAAGTGCAACAACAAATGAATGGAAATCCAAAGTCTCGGTAAACTTTCATTAAAATTAATAAAAAAACCCCAAAAACAAAAACCACACCCCAAAAAAACCCCAAAGCCTGTCACCACTGGGCCAACTGGCAGCATTGTGATGGACAGTGAAGAGATTGAGATTGTTCAAAGCTTTAGTTTGCTTGGTTCCACAATCAAAACTCTTGGCACCAGCGGCCAGGAAATTAAAAGACATATTGCAAGGGGAAAGTCTGCAGTTAGAGACTTCTCTAAGAGCAATGATGTCAGTCTAAAGACTAAGGTGTGCCTGACACAGGCCATGGTCTCTGCAATCACTTGCTAACCTTTCAAAAGAACAAAAGACTTTTAAAAGTTCAACTTAGCAATCAAATGAATTTAAATTTTTAAAAATTCACATGCCTGCTTTTTTAAATGTTTAAAATACAAAAGCAATAACTGCAGGGGTTAAGCTGATCAAAGCAGGAGCTGCCTGGGTTAAGACAAAACAAACACTGGGACAATGAAGACCTTGATTCTCATGCTGAAGTTGCCTTCTGATAAAGGTGGTTATACAAACAGGGAACACCAGCAAGTAAGAAAAAACCATACTGAAGTCCAGCTAACATATTTTACTACTTATGTAGCTAAAAACTTCTCAATAAAAGCATGAGGATGTACAGGTCAAGAGGACACTCAACCGTGAGTCCTCTCCTTTTACTTATTGACCAAGAAAAGTTTGAGTAGTTCATTCCGTCACTCAGCATCTTCCTACTGGTTAGAGAAGTGTTACAGATAGTAACTGCTTCTACTGCAATGTGGGGATTCATTTACAAAGCCAGCAAACAATGTTGGTTCCATCTTAAAACTTATGTTAAACTTCACATGGCAATTCCAAAAACCACATTTCTCTGGAAGCCTTCATTGTTGTTGCCAGGTGCTGTCACTGTCAAGTCCACTGTGACTCATAGTGACCCTGTGAACAGTGGATCTGAACCTTGCCTTATCCGAGCCATCACAGGGAGCCTTTACATAGGCTAAATCTCTAGCTGTATACTTAGGAACTTGTAGGTGGTGTTTTTCTGTGGCATTATTAATTCATTACCTATTTTCTTTGCTTTCTGTAAACTCAAGGAGGCCAGGGATTATTTCTACCCATTAATGCCTTACAGGTGTCACAATGTGCTGTTAGGACTTTTGAGAATGACTTTTCTATCTATTGCCTTAGCTCCCTCTGGGGACATGGTCACCAGCTGCTTCAACTGCACACTTGTGTTTTGCATCTTTAACATCATCAATGGCTGTAAGGTCTACATAAAAGAGAGAGCTCACCAGACTGTAAAGAGACTGTGGCAAAGAGAAGCCAGACAGAGCCAGATGGAGCTGGAGCCAGAGGTATCTTGCTATTGATTAAGAAGTTGTCTGAAATAATTGAGAGATTGTGTCTTGCTGTAACCTGGCATAGGAATGCTAATTACTAAATCTGGATTTCCACTGTGTGATATTCTTTGCCTCGCCCCCACCCAACCTTCTTTCCCACAACTGTGAGTAAAAGGAGAATTGGTAAATTCTCAGAGGTCTTTTGCAATGAATTATGGACCCAGTAATTAGCAGAAGTGAATGCTGCAGAGTGGGTTCTGTGTTTGACCCGGGATTAGCTTTATACTGTGGATGATGTTGATGGGGGCAGGTCCCCTTTATGAAGTTAGCAGAGGTTGAACTTGACCTTGCCATGTTGCAAGCTCCTTTCTACACATAGTGTTTGTCTGCACCAGAAGCTTAATAAATATAGCTGATTCAAACAGAATTAGTATTCCTGGCTTTCCCACCTATTTCTGGATTACTTCTAATTTTGGGTTAGAAACTTTAAAAATTTCAGCTTCCTTCTGTGTAAATTGGGGAGAAGCAAACTCAGTTTATGGGGGTACCTAAGTTCAGCCTTGTTAAAGATGGGCTCCAGAAGCTCTTCCTGTTTATCTTATAAATTTTTCACTCATCTTAGGTTTCGTCTGGATTTGCAAAACTCCAACACTGGAAGAATCCTGCAAGCTAGTACAAAACTCTCTGGATCTGCAATGTCATGGGCACCCCGTAAAGTAATACACAGGACCCAATAAATATCAGTTACTATTCCAATGGAGTGAAGAGAATCAAATATGCATAAAAGAAAAGTAGTCTATAGCCCTTTTGAACCTCAAGTTTCATGACTCTTGAGACCATAAGAACTAGATGGTACCCAGCTACTACTGCTGACATATCTCTGATAATGACAAGAGAAGGTCCTGGATAAAATGGAAGATAAATATGGCAAAAATTCATAATCATAAAAATGGTCAGGGTTTTTAGCTTGGTGGAGGCTGGAGGAACCCCTGAGATTATGGTCTTTAGTTCCCTTGGAGCCTTGAACTGAATTCACCTCTGTGGCACAATTTTCAGTCAAACAGTAGACAGATCTATAAGTTGAACAATAAAATCAAGGAGGTACATAGTCCTTAGGATATTCAATAATACAAGAACAAAAGGACAGCAGCACCCCTGGGATAGACCTCAGAGGGCAGGAGGGGAGGGGACAGTAGGATGAATGGAAATAATAGTGGCTAGGGTACCCACTATCTATTTTGTTTCAATGTAATGAAACAAAAGATGTAGGAATAGTTGAAAATAATTTTAAGCTGTTTTATAAACTTTCACTCAAATCACAAAAAACAGTCCAAATAAAAAAAGCAATTTCTATTACTGCAATAGGAGCGCTGGTGGTGTTAAAGCACCCAGCTGACAACAGAAAGGTTAGCAGTTTGAACTCACCAGCTACTTCACAGGATAAAGATGTGGCAATCTGCTTTCATAAAGATTTACAGCCTTGGAACCCTATGGGACAGTTCAACTCTGCTCTGCAGTATTGACAGCAACAGGCAATAACTACTTATTGTCCAGTAAAAGAAGTAACACAAATATTTAAATATATTAAGCTTGAATAAAATAAGTAACACTATGAAAAAAGATGCAATAGTAGGAAAATTAAGAAAGTTCATTCCTAAAGGGCCACAGAAAGCGGCTTTTGTTCAGAGACCTGAAGGACAGAGAAGATGCAAAAGGTGATGGACAAGGAGAGGGAATAATATTCTAGGAATGAACCAACATTAGCTAGAGCACATGAGTTTGAGTAAAGAGAATGTGGTACTAACCTCACAGTGTAGTTCTGAATGCTCTTGGTCAACAACTTCTTTTTTCTTCCCCAGTGAACTCTCTACATGCCCCTCTTGTATCCCTCTATAAACTCCTATCTTTGCACTCTGAATAAAGAGCTTCTCTGCTAGCTTTACAAAGAAAAATAAACAGACTCCCTTAAATTGTCAGATGCAAGTAATTATGCATGCATGCATGACCTTCACCTCTTATATCTCTCCCCTTAAGGGTTAATTTGTGATGTTATTTAAGTACAAAATTAATTACAATCAAATCTTGTGGGAGAACAGCATTTTCCCCCCTAATGAATCAGAAATGTTGGCTCTCACCTTCTCTCTCACTGTCACTAAACTGGGACTAACTCATAGTAAGCCTCTAGTGGATTTTCAGGGGCTATAAACCACATGGGAGGAGACTGTCCATTTTTCTCTCATGGAGAAGCTGGTGGATTTGAACCACCAGAGACGTGCTGCTTTTGGGTTGGTGGCATAACTCCCTACCAATAATGCCACCAGAGGTCCCTCTAATTTTTGGTTAATTCCTGGCTAGGAACACACTTGTCTGTACCTTGAGTTCTCCTGGCTTTTTCTCCTCAGACGACTTGCAACGGGTGATATCCTGCAGCTTCTGCTCCAGGGGGTCCAGGCACTTCTGCAGCTTCTCCTGAGGGGTGGGGAGGCAGTGGAAAAGGTAACAAATGGGCTGGAATAAGTTTCATTTAAATGTCAACCTATTTGTTTGCTCAGTTCAACTCTTCATCCAACTTGCTTTCTTGCCTCTCTTGTGGGGTACCAATTTCTTACTGGTTTCTTCTCCTGTCACCAGTCTTTCAAACTAATTTTTGCTGTTAATTCCTTTCTTTTGTAAGATTCTTATAAGCTCTCCAGGAGGCACCAGTTCTCTGACCTTGCCCAATCCAGTCCATTTTCTTGTTACTCAATTCATCAAATCGACCTGTACTCTGGTATCTTTCTTCAAAACTGCCCTTCTAACTTATCTGCCTACAAAAAGAATAAAATCTCAATCCCTAATACATTAAATTATCTCATCCCTTGTTTCCAACATAATTAAGCAGAGTAACTGCAACAAGCTATGACATTAAAATCTTTGCTCCCATTACTCAAATATCAACCTTGGCCCACAGACAAGTTAAATCTAATGCTGCACTATTTATTTAGGAAAGATGTAAACAGACTAAAGATATAAACAGACTAGTTCAGCTTGGACTGTTGACTGTAATTCTACGTAAGTAATATTACCTAGTCCCAGTACCACTGGAAAAAGGACAGAATGAGAAAACCATTTTTCAATTCTTTCTAAGTAGATACTCTTCATGTGGTTCTTCATTCAAGAAAACCATGACATGTTCTAAGATCACACATAAGACTCAAATGTTACAAAAGTCAAGAGATAAATTTTAGATAGTCAGCACCACTCTTTTAATTTGTTCTGAGAATAAGGATCAAGAGTACTATGTGTGTGTAGTTCAGAGCAGATTAGAAAGTGAGGATCAGATGCACACTGTCCTCGAGGAATTTATAAGCCTCTACCCAAGGAGTCTCCTGCTGCTCCATCCTCCATCCCATCTTGGTACCATGCATCTGGTTTCTCACCTTGTACTCCTGTGTGGCATCATCCAGTGGCACAATGATGTGGGCCCCATGGGCATGGGAAACTGCACATATCAAACATACAGGCTCCTGGTCCTCACAGCAGAAGAGGTTGAGGGCCTCATGGTGCTGGGGGCAGAGGTTCTCATTCTGGAGCTTTCTCTTGACAGTTTGGAGCTGCTTAGCAATTTCCACCATGCTGCCTAATTGCCGATTAGGCCGGAGACTGGGGTAGCAGGACGTCTTTCGACACACAGGACATGGGAAGTCCCTCTCCAAGTCCTCCCACCAGCGAGTGATGCAAGCTTTGCAGAAGTTGTGCCCACACTCAATGATGACAGGCTCCTTCAGGTACTCGAGGCACACAGAGCAGCTTGCTTCCACTTGTAAGTTCTCCAGAGCTGCAGCTGTGGAGGCTGCAGAGGCCCCAGACTCTAACAGTTTTGGCTCTGCCATTTCTGGAGAATAAAACAGAAAAAAAGAAAAACATTTAAAATTTTTGTATCCTCAGCATAACATTTATCCTCATATTAAGTCCCGTCTTCAGGGGCTGACCCATCTTTGTATATTTCCCATTTTCCCCCACCTCCCATTAGATTCAACCTCTATTATTTCAAAATTTGACTTCCAGTCACTAACCTCATTTCTTTTCCCCCAGAGCAAGCTAATCTTCACCCTTCAATCTTTCTGGCTTATCTCTGCTGTCTTGTTAAAATTAGAGGCTTCGCCTTACCTGAGCCCAATGGACTTATTTAATCATCTTATTTGTATTTTAGAACCAATTACTTCCCAACTAATGCGTCCTGATACTGACACATTTTCCTCATAAATGAGAAAATCTGGAAAAGATGCAAAGTTCCATTAAAGCCTAATCCTGATTCCCTGCCACACTTCTCTCATTCTTTCAATGGACGTTAAATGCAATGGGCAAGGGAGGTTAACCTCTTCCTCTTTAAAGAAAAAGTTAAAATTATTCTTATTGCACTTAAGTGACGTTGAGTAACTTTCTAGTTATAGAAACCCAGTGTAAAACAGAATGAAACACTGCTTGGTTCTGTAGCATCTTTACAACGATGGGGTACTGGAGCCCATTATTGCAACCATGGTGTCAATTCAGACTAACCTGTAGAAATTTAATGATACAGAATGATGTATCTTTTTAAAAAATTTTTTCTTAAAGAAACTTTTTAGTTTATACTGGTTTGCTTACAAAAGTTTTTATACATTGTTTTTCATATTGGATCACTATCATTTCCTTTACTCATTCCTCCCTCGACCCATCAAATTGTGTGATGCTATTTCAGACAAGGGTCTCATATCAAAAGCTTACAGAATCCTATAGGGCCTCCAAAGAAAAAGACTGATAACCGAACTACAAAATGGACAAAAGACATGGAAAGAGATTTCACAGAGGAAGACATTTGGATTGCCAACAGACACATAAAGAAATTGGCAGTAAGAGCAATGCAAATCAAAACCACATCTCACCCCAGTAGCAGAGACAGTTTAAAGGAAAGCAAGTAATAGATACCGGAGAGGATGTAGAGACAGGAACTCTCACACAGTGTTGGTGGGATTGTAAAGTGGTACAACCACTCTGGAAGGCAGTTTGGCCTTTCCTCAAAAGCTGAACATTCCATATGACCCAGCTATTCCAATGTTTGGAATATGTTGTTGTTCTGTGCTGTTGAGTCACTTGCGACTTATAGCGACCCTATGTAAAACAGCCCTAAACTCTGCTCTGTCCTGTGCCACTCTGTTTCTGACATACCAATCCTAATTACCCCAGTCACTGAGTCAATCCACCTCATAGAGGGCCTTCCCCTTCTGCACTGTCCCTCC